AGAACACTATGTCTCAGGTACACTTAACTAGAACAACTTTGTGTGTATGTAAACTATGTCTCAGGTACACTTAACTAGAACACTTTGTGTGTATGTAAACTATGTCTCAGGTACACTTAACTAGAACACTTTGTGTGTATGTAAACTATGTCTCAGGTACACTTAACTAGAACTTTTTGTGTGTATGTAAACTATGTCTCAGGTACACTTAACTAGAACACTTTGTGTGTATGTAAACTATGTCTCAGGTACACTTAACTAGAACACTTTGTGTGTATATGTAAACTATGTCTCAGGTACACTTAACTAATGTAAACTAGAACACTTTAGAACACTTTGTGTGTAAAACTATGTTGTGTATGTAAACTATGTCTCAGGTACACTTTGTGTGTAACTAGAACACTTTGTGTGTATGTAAACTATGTCTCAGGGTACACTTAACTAGAACACTAACTAGTTTGTGTGTATGTAAACTATGTCTCAGGTACACTTAACTAGAACACTTTGTGTGTATGTGTGTATGTAAACTATGTCTCAGGTCTCACACTTAACTAGAACACTTTGTGTGTATGTAAACTATGTCTCAGGTACACTTACTAGAACACTTTGTGTAGAAACTATGTCTCAGGTACACTTGAACACTTTGTGTGTATGTAAACTATGTCTCAGGTACACTTAACTAGAACACTTTGTGTGTATGTAAACTATGTCTCAGGTACACTTAACTAGAACACTTTGTGTGTATGTAAACTATGTCTCAGGTACACTTAACTAGAACACTTTGTGTGTATGTAAACTATGTCTCAGGCACACTTAACTAGAACACTTTGTGTGTATGTAAAACTATGTCTCAGGTACACTTAACTAGAACACACTTGTGTGTATGTAAACTATGTCTCAGGCACACTTAACTAGAACACTTTGTGTGTATGTAAACTATGTCTCAGGTACACTTAACTAGAACACTTTGTGTGTATGTAAACTATGTCTCAGGCACACTTAACTAGAACACTTTGTGTGTATGTAAACTATGTCTCAGGTACACTTAACTAGAACACTTTGTGTGTATGTAAACTATGTCTCAGGCACACTTAACTAGAACACTTTGTGTGTATGTAAACTATGTCTCAGGCACACTAACTAGAACACTTTGTGTGTATGTAAACTATGTCTCAGGTACACTAACTAGAACTCAGGCACACTATGTCTCAACTAGAACACTTTGTGTGTATGTAAACTATGTCTCAGGTACACTAACTAGAACACTTTGTGTGTATGTAAACTATGTCTCAGGCACACTTAACTAGAACACTTTGTGTGTATGTAAACTATGTCTCAGGTACACTTAACTAGAACACTTTGTGTGTATGTAAACTATGTCTCAGGTACACTTAACTAGAACACTTTGTGTGTATGTAAACTATGTCTCAGGCACACTTAACTAGTTTGTGTGTATGTAAACTATGTCTCAGGTACACTTAACTAGAACACTTTGTGTGTATGTAAACTATGTCTCAGGTACACTTAACTAGAACACTTTGTGTGTATGTAAACTATGTCTCAGGCACACTTAACTAGAACACTTTGTGTGTATGTAAACTAGTATGCGTAACTGTGTATGTACGCTAGTGTGTGCGTAACTGTGTATGTACATACAGTGTGTGTGCATGTAACTGTATTTACACTAGTGTGTGCATGTAACTGTATGTACACTAGTGTGTGCATGTAACTTTGTGTATGTACACTAGTGTGTGCATGTAATTATGTGTATGTACACTAGTGTGTGCATGTAATTATGTGTATGTACACTAGTATGTGTGTGTGTGTGCACACTAGGGTATGTATGACGGTGCATGTATACTAGTATGCTTGTGCACACTAGGGTATGTATGAGGGTGTATGTACACTAGTATGCTTGTGCACACTAGGGTATGTATGACGGTGCAGGTATACTAGTGTGTGTGTGCACACTAGGGTATGTATGATGGTGCATGTATACTAGTATGTGTGTGTGTACACTAGGGTATGTATGACAGTGCATGTATACTAGTGTGTGTACACTAGGGTATGTATGACGGTGCATGTATACTAGTATGCTTGTGCACACTAGGGTATGTATGAGGGTGTATGTACACTAGTATGCTTGTGCACACTAGGGTATGTATGACGGTGCAGGTATACTAGTGTGTGTGCACACTAGGGTATGTATGATGGTGCATGTATACTAGTATGTGTGTGTGTACACTAGGGTATGTATGACAGTGCATGTATACTAGTGTGTGTGTGTGTGTACACTAGGGTATGTATGACGGTGCATGTATACTAGTGTGTGTTAACTGTATGGTTCTTGTTTAAAATGAGTTGTGTGAACTTTACAGATTTGTGCAGAACCAACAACAGCATTTTGTGGCTGTTTGTGATTTCACTATGCAATTTTACATTCTGTAGTCTGCCATTACTTTCCACATAGTTTGCTCTTGATACCACCTGAAACTAACACAGGGCGGTCTGTTGCTGCTGAATCACCTGCAGCTGGGATCGAACCCAGCAATGCGTTCACCAATTCCTATCCCAAAGATGATGACTTGTACACTATGTGTACACTAGTATGCGTGTAACTATGATGGCTTATGTACATGAGTGTGTATGCAACTGTGTTTGTTCTGTATATATCTAATTAAATTATGTTAAGAGAACGAATATTGGCAAGACCCTGTCAATCAACAAAACTTGAACAGAAACCAAGTTTAAACCTATCTCAACAACAGATTTTAACAACAACAATGAAGAAAACAAACAATGACTATAAATAAACAATGAAACAGCAAACTTACAAGTTCCTATACAACAATCCATCTCCCATGCTCAGAACCTGGTCTGTCTGTCTACCTAAATGTTTCAATGTTGCATTCTTTTTCTCCTAGTTATAAATCTACACTTAAATATGCCCTCTTCTATACTGTTGATACAATCTACACATAAATATGCCCTCCTCTATTCTGTCCATGATACAATCTACACTTAAATATCCTCCTCTATTCCCTTCATGATACAATCTACACTTAAATGTGCCCTCTTCTATTCCCTTCAGGATACAATCTACAGAAAACGGTTGCATCTGGCGTTCTTCATCAACATGTGCAAACTGCTGGTTCTTTCTTCAACCAGTGCTAGGAACTGCTATCTACCAACAGCTTTTTAAACCTCAATTTTCTACACACAGACTTGCTAATCCTGGACTTTCTATACATGAATTAACTTAACCTGGACTTTCTAAACAAGAATGTATTAAATCTGGACTTTCTACACAAGAATTTACTAACTCTGGACTTTCTAAACATGAATTTACTAAACCAGGACTATCTTCACATGAATTTATTAAACCTGGACTTTCTACACATGAATTTATTTAGCCTGGACTTTCTACACAAATATTTACTAAACCTAGACTTTCTACACATGAATTTACTAAACCATAACTTTCTACATATGAATTTATTAAACCATAACTTTCTACACATGAATTTATTAAACCATAACTTTCTACACATGAATTTATTAAACCATAACTTTCTACATTTGAATTTATTCAGTCTGGACTTATTGTAAATGGACTTTATAGACCTAGACTTTCTACACTTGAATTTACTATACTAAACCATGACTTTCTACACTTGAATTTACTAAGCCATGACTTTCTACACTTGAATTTACTAAGCCATGACTTTCTACACTTGAATTTACTAAACCATAAATTTCTAAACATGAATGAACTAAGTCAGGACTTTCAACATATGAATTTACTACAAATGGACTTTCTACACATGAATTTACTAAGCTGTGACTTACTACAAAGGAACTCTACACCTGGATTTACTAAACCTGGGCTTTCTATGACACACTTAACATTTGTATATACAGTCAAAACTCACTGTCACCAGTGCATTTAGGTTGTGTGAAATAATTGTGTCAGGTAACAACTAACACATTTAATGATACCATGATGTGTTGACAATACACAGGTGTCAGGTAACAACTAACACATTTAATGATACCATTTTGTGTTGACAATACACAGGTGTCAGGCAACGACTAACACATTTAATGATACCATGATGTGTTGACAATACACAGGTGTCAGGCAACAACTAACACATTTAATGATACCATTTTGTGTTGACAATACACAGGTGTCAGGCAACGACTAACACATTTAATGATACCATGATGTGTTGACAATACACAGGTGTCAGGCAACGACTAACACATTTAATGATACCATGATGTGTTGACAATACACAGGTGGCAGGTGATATTTTACTGTACAGAGATATTGCATTCATGTTTTCCTTGTCTTTGGTAAATGAGCATAGAAATGGTACTACAGGTAATCTCATATAAAACAATCAACACATCGACATGATAGCTGCACAGTGAGACAGCTGTCTACAAGAAACAACAGCGCACTGACATGACAGCTGCACCGAGAGACAGCTGACTATAAGAAACAATAGCACATTGACACGACAGCTTACTACAAGAAACAACAGTACACTGACATAACGCACCTTGAGATAGCTGACTGTAAGAAACAAAAGCACAGTGACATGACAGCTGCACCATGAGACAGCTAACTATAAGAAACAATAGCACACTTATATGACAGCTGACTACAAGAAACAACAGCACACTAAAATGACAGTTGCACCGTGAGACAGCTGAGTAAACAACAGCACACTGACATGACAGCTGCACCTTGATACAGCTGACTACAAAAAACAACAGCACACTGACATGACAGCTGCACCGTGAGACAGCTGACTATAAAAAAAACAATCACACACTGAATTTGGTCACAGGCTGTCCTTGCTGAAGCCAGCTATTGCAGGTTTGCTCTTGAGCCATCAGTCAAACAGGGACTTGCTGGAAGCCTGAAATATGAGAATACAATCATCAACATGCTGACCACCTTGGCTCAAACATCAGGAGATTGTACAATCTGAGCTTAAACAGGAGATTGTACAATCTTGGTTAAAACATCAGGAGATTGTACAATATGGACTCAAACATCAGGAGATTGTACAATCTTGGCTTAAATACTGTACAATCTTAAATGCTGAGCTCATGAGTATTATTAATATACAATGTTGTGTGTGTGTTGTGCCATCTCCTGAGTAAGGGACACTGTGAAAGCACGGAGAACGAGCACTAGCACAAACAGTAAATGAGAAAAAAAAAAAAAAAGAAGAGTGGAGACTAGGAGAATCTAGAGGTAGAGAAGCAGAAGAAGAGGTGAAGGAATCATAGCAGGAGGATAATAATGAGAAGAAGCAACAGTAGCCAGCAGCTACAAGCTACAGTAGCCACAGCCACAAGCTACAGTAGCCAGCAGCCACTAGCAACAGTAGCCAGCAGCCACAAGCAACAGTAGCCAGCAGCTATAAGCTACATTAGCCAGCAGCCATGAGCTACAGTAGCCAGCAGCCACAAGCAACAGTAGCTAGCAGCCACGAACAACAGTAACCAGCAGCCACAAGCAACAGTAGCCAGCAGCTATAAGCTACTGTAGCCAGCAGCTATAAGCTACATTAGCCAACAGCCACAAGCTACAGTAACCAGCAGCCATGAGCAACAGTAGCCAGCAGCCACAAGCTACAGTAACCAGCAGCCATGAGCAACAGTAGCCAGCAGCTATAAGCTACATTAGCCAGCAGCCATGAGCAACAGTAGCCAGCAGCTATAAGCTACATTAGCCAGCAGCCACGAGCTATAGAAGCCGGCTACAAGCTACAGTAGACAGCAGCCCCAAGCTCCAGCAGCCACGAGCAACAGTAGCCAGCAGCCACAAGCAACAGTAGCCAGCAGCCACTAGCAACAGTAGCCAGCAGTCACAAGCAACAGTAGTCAGCAGCCACAAGCAACAATAGCCAGCAGCCACTAGCAACAGTAGCCAGCAGCCACAAGCAACAGTAGTCAGCAGCCACTAGCAACAGTAGCCAGCAGCCACAAGCCAGCAGCCATAAGCAACAGTAGGCAGCAGCCACAAGCAACAGTAGCCAGCAGCCACAAGCTACAGTAACCAGCAGCCACAAGCAACAGTAGCCAGCAGCCATGAGCAACAGTAGCCAGCAGCCACAAGCAACAGTAGCCAGCAACCATGAGCAACAGTAGCCAGCAGCCATGAGCAACAGTAGCCAGCAGCCATGAGCAACAGTAGCCTTCTACAAGCTACAGTAGACAGCAGCCCCAAGCTCCAGCAGCCACAAGCTACAGTAGCCAGCAGCCATGAGCAACAGTAGCCAGCAGCCACAAGCAACAGTAGCCAGCAGCCACTAGCAACAGTAGCCTGCAGCCACAAGCAACAGTAGCCTGCAGTCACAATCAACAGTAGCCAGCAGCCACAAGCAACAGTAGCCAGCAGCCATGAGCAACAGTAGCCAGCAGCCACAAGCAACAGTAGCCAGCAGCTATAAGCTACATTAGCCAGCAGCCATGAGCTACAGTAGCCAGCAGCCACAAGCTACAGTAACCAGCAGCCACTAGCAACAGTAGCCAGCAGCCATGAGCAACAGTAGCCAGCAGCCATGAGCAACAGTAGCCAGCAGTCACAAGCAACAGTAGCCAGCAGCTATAAGCTACATCAGCCAGCAGCCATGAGCTACAGTAGCCGGCTACAAGCTACAGTAGACAGCAGCCCCAAGCTCCAGCAGCCACAAGCTACAGTAGCCAGCAGCCACTAGCAACAGTAGCCAGCAGCCACAAGCAACAGAAGCCAGCAGCCACAAGCAACAGTAGCCAGCAGCCATGAGCAACAGTAGCCAGCAGCTATGAGCAACAGTAGCCAGCAGCCACTAGCAACATTAGCCAGCAGCCACGAGCTACAGTAGCCGGCTACAAGCTACAGTAGACAGCAGCCCCAAGCTCTAGCTGCCACAAGCTACAGTAGCCAGCAGTCACGATCAACAGTAGCCATCAGCCATGAGCAACAGTAGCCAGCAGCCACAAGCTACAGTAGCCAGCAGCCATTAGGAACAGTAGCCAGCAGCCACAAGCTACTGTAGCCAGCAGCCATGAACAACAGTAGCCATCAGCTATAAGCTACATTAGCCAGCAACAGTAGCCAGCAGCCATGAGCAACAGCAGCCAGCAGCCACGAGCTACAGTAGCCAGCAGCCATGAGCAACAGTAGCCAGCAGCCATGAGCAACAGTAGCCAGAGCCACAAGCAACAGTAGCCAGCAGCCATGAGCAACAGCTGATTAGACTATCTTGTGTGAAACTGAGTCTCACAGGCTAATTAGTTAATCAATTATTGTTTGCTGAATTAAATCTACGAGGACATCAATTACTATCAAGTGGTGTCAACAATGATGAAACAATAAAATGTTAGTAATCATAATAGAAATAATTATTGCTAGCTAGACAAAAATAATGTGAAAGCAGTTAACTGCTACAAAAACAGTACCAATGTTTGCTACAGGAAGAATGATGATATTGACTAGTGTTTGTTAAACCAGAATAATGAAATAAATTATGGTTAGTTCAATTAACACGGATCGTTGAATCAACGGCGGTCGGACTGGATAGTCTGATGTTCAAATTCTCTTTTGAGTGGGGGCTTCCAGATTTGCTCATAGTCTGATATGGGCTGTAAGAAATATCCTGGGCTTCCAGATTTGCTCATAGTCTGACATGGGCTGTAAGAAATATCCTGGGCTTCCAGATTTGCTCATAGTCTGACATGGGCTATAAGAAATATCCTGGGCTCCCAGATTTGCTCATACCCTGACATGGGCTGTAAGAAATATCCTGGGCTTCCAGATTTGCTCAGGCTGACATGGGCTGTAGGAAATATTCTGGGCTTAGAGATTTGCTCATAGTCTGACATGGGCTGTAAGAAATATCTTGGGCTTCCAGATTTGCTCAGGCTGACATGGGCTGTAGGAAATATCCTGGGCTCCCAGATTTGCTCATAGTCTGACATGGGCTCCCAGATTTGCTCATAGTCTGACATGGGCTCCCAGATTTGCTCAGTCTGACATTGGCTGTAAGAAATGTCCCATGCTCCCAGATTTGCTCAGGCCGACTTAGACTGTAAGAAATGTCCCGTGCTCCCAGATTTGCTCGGGCAAACTTAGACTGTAAGAAATGTCCCGGGCTCCCAGATCCGCCCAGTCCTATGCAGGCCGCAAGAAATGTCCTGGGCTCCCAGATTTGCTCAGGCCGACACGGGCCGCAAGAAATGTCCTGGGCTCGCAGATTTGCTCAGGCCGACACGGGCCGTAAGAAATGTTCTGGGCTCCCAGATTTGCTCAGGCCGACACGGGCCGTAAGAAATGTCATGGGAACTCAACACAGTCATGATGATAAGGACCTATTACTGTAAGACCACAATAACCAATTACTGTTACACTACAATAATGATACTACCAATTACTGCTACACTACAATAATGATACCAATGATCCCACCCATTACTGTTACACCACAATAATGATACTACCAATTGCCGTTACACTACAATAATAATACCACCCATTACTGTTAGACTAAAATATTGATACTACCAATTACTGTTACACTACAATAATGATACCAATGATACCACCCATTACTGTTACACCACAATAATGATACTACCAATTACCGTTACACTACAATAATAATACCACCCATTACTGTTAGACTAAAATATTGATACTACCAATTACTGTTACACTACAATAATGATACCAATGATACCACCCATTACTGTTACACTACAATAATGATACTACCAATTACTGTTAGATCACAATAATGATACCACCAATTACTGTTAGACCACAATAATGATACCACAAATTACTGTTAGACCCCAATAATGATACTACCAATTACTGTTAGACCACATAATGATACCACCAATTACTGTAACACTACAATAATGTACCACCAATTACTGTTAGACCACAATAATGATACCACCAATTACTGTTAGACCACAATAATGATACCACCAATTGCTGTTAGACCCCAATAATGATACTACCAATTACTGTCACACTACAATAATGTACCACCAATTACTGTTAGACCACAATAATGATACCACCAATTACTGATAGACCACAATAATGATACCACCAATTACTGTTAAACCACAATAATGATACCACCAATTACTGTCACATTACAATAATGTACCACCAATTACTGTTAGACCACAATATTGATACCACCAATTACTGTTAGACCACAATAATGATACCACCAATTACTGTCAAACTGCAATAATGATACTACCAATTACTGTTAGACCATAATAATGATACCACTAATTATTGATAGACCACAATAATGATACCACCAATTACTGTTAGACCCCAATAATGATACCACCAATTACTGTTATACCACAATAATGATACCACCAATTACTGTCACACTACAATAATGATACCACCAATTACTGTCACACTACAATAATGATACCACCAATTACTGTTAGACCACAATAATGACATCACCAATTACTACTACATTACAATAATGATACAATTAATCAATGTCAAATATTGTTAGGTAGAACTAAAAATAAAGAATCTTGAAAGCAATTATTATTAAGGCAATTATGAAACACATTATTCTTAGAGTAAACAATTAGGGCTCCAATTATTATTACTGAACAATAAAATTATCAAAGAAATTATTGTTATTTAAACTATAATAATCATGAAACCAGTTACTGTTATTGAAACTAAAACATCCACAGAAAATTATAATTTACATTCAAAGTAAATGAGAGAAAGGAACATGTAGAAAATGAAAATATAGAAAATAATGGTAATGAAGAAAATAACAGTAATGTAGGAAATATAATTCCAGAATTATAATTCCAGAAATATAATTCCAGAAATGTAATGTAGGAAATATAATTCAGGAAATATAATGTGGGAAATATAATGCAAGAAATATAATGTAGAAAATATATTTTATGAAATATAATGTAGGAAATTTAATTCATGAAATATAATGTAGGAAATATAATTCATGAAATATAATGTAGGAAATATAACGTAGGAAATATAACGTAGGAAATATAATGTAGGAAATATAAATCAGGAAATATAAATCAGGAAATATGGGAAAGAAGCAGCAATCCACAATGGTGTTCACAAGAAAATAACTTATGCATGTACACTGTCAGGGGCTAGTGCGTATGGTATTATATGTATGTGTGTGTGTGTGTGTGTGTGCATGCATGTGTGTGTATGTGTGTGCGTGCGTGTGCATGCGTGTGTACTCAGAGCAGCACTACAATATAGGATATATGTTCATGTAGTCAGGGGTAGTCTACAATAATCACTTGACCTGATAAAGATATGTCAATGCATACGTGATGCCCTACAGCACTTGCCTGTATGTGTGAATGTGTACACACACATGTGGGTGAGTGTGTGCGCGCACGCATGTATGTGTGTTTGTGTGTGAAATAGATCACTATATTGTGAATATTCTGCAACCATATTTTCATATATGATCACTACATGATATTTAAAACAGCTAACCTATAGTTGCTCATTTCATTAGAAAGAATAATTCCACAAGTATTATGCTGTAGCCACCATACTGTATCAGCTACACACTCACTGTGGATCTAAAGGTCGTGGGTTCCAATCCCTATAGAGCTAGAGTTCATTTTTTTTTTCTTTTTTCAGAAATGACGTTGGCTACCATGTCTGCCCAGCCTTAAATGAGAACCAGGTAAAGTCGGCTACAGAGGGCCCACTGGTCTATCAAATATAGGTCAAGCCCTAAATGCCTAAAGGAATGGAAAAGCAGCCTTTACTAGATCACAGTGGGCTCCCAATGACATGTACAACACGGCGGTGTGCTCCCAGCTGACATGTACAACACAGCGGTGTGCTCCCAGCTAACATGTACAACACGGCGGTGTGCTCCCAATGACATGTACAACACGGCGGTGGGCTCCCAGCTGACATGTACAACATGGCATTGTGCTCCCAGCTGACATGTACAACATGGCATTGTGCTCCCAGCTGACATGTACAACACGGCGGTGTGCTCCCAGCTGACATGTACAACACAGTGGTGTGCTCCCAGCTAACATGTACAACACAGCAGTGTGCTCCCAGCTGACATGTACAACACGGCGGTGTGCTCCCAATGACATGTACAACACGGCGGTGGGCTCCCAGCTGACATGTACAACATGGCATTGTGCTCCCAGCTGACATGTACAACACAGCGGTGGGCTCCCAGCTGACATGCACATGTGAATGTCTACAACTATACACAGCAAGCAGCTTTCATGCACACATGACTAAGGGACCTATATATATACAGATATGCTCTCACTGCCTCATGCGCCACATTCATGGTCATCCTCTTACTGCCTAATGCACCACATTCATGGACATTTTTCTCAATGCCGATGTGCCACATTCATGGACATCCTCTCAATGCCTAATGTGCCACATTCATGGACATCCTCTCAATGTCTAATGTGCCACATTCAGGGACATCCTCTCAATGTCTAATGTGCCACATTCAGGGACATCCTCTCAATGTCTAATGTGCCACATTCAGGGACATCCTCTCAATGTCTAATGTGCCACATTCGGAGACATCCTCTCAATGTATAATACACCACATTCAGGGACATCCTATTACTACCTCATGCACCACATTCATGGACATCCTCTTACTACCTCATGCGCCACATTCATGGACATCCTCTTACTACCTCATGTGCCACATTCATGGACATCCTCTTACTACCTCATGGACCACATTCATGGACATCCTCTTACTACCTTATGTGCCACATTCATGGACATTCTCTCAATGCCTAATGTGCCACATTCATGGAAATCCTCTCAAATGTCTAATGTGCCACATTCAGAGACATCCTCTCAATGTCTAATGTGCCACATTCAGGGACATCCTCTCAATGTCTAATAAGCCACATTCAGGGACATCCTCTCAATGTCTAATGCTCCCCGTGTAGGTTCCGGGGCCCCATCGTGGGGAAAACAAGAATAGACTCTCTGCCTACCCAAAAGCATGTCATAAGAGTTGACTAATTGGGGAGCTTCCTTTGAAGTCGCAGAGCATCTGCTCGAGTGGCAAGGAACCAACAGTCTGCATTCAATTGAATCAGATCAGTAAAACTGATGCACATGCAACACTCAGGTTCTGGGGCAGGACTGCAGTTCAGAAGTGGACGAACAACCAGAACTTTCCACCAGAGTATACAGCTGGTAAACGTGAAGAAGAAGAAGAAGGTCTAATGTGCCACATTCAGGGACATCCTCTTACTACCTCATGCACCACATTCATGGACATCCTCTTACTACCTCATGCGCCACATTCATGGACATCCTCTCAATGCCTAATGCGCCACATTCATAGACTTCCTCTCAATGCCTAATGCGCCACATTCATGGACATCCTCTCAATGTCTAATGTGCCACGTTCAGGGATATCCTCTCAATGTCTAATGTGCCACTTTCATGGACATCCTCTCAATGTCTAATGTTCCTCATTCAGGGACATCCTCTCAATGTCTAATGTGCCACATTCATGGACATCCTCTCAATGTCTGTTGTGCCACTTTTATGGACATCCTCTCAATGCCTAATGCGCCACATTCAGGTGCATCCTCTCAAATGTCTAATGTGCCACATTCAGGGACATCCTCTCAATGTTTAATGTGCCACATTCAGGGACATCCTCTCAATGTCTAATGTGCCACATTCATGGAAATCCTCTCAATGTCTAATGTGTCACTTTCATGGACATCCTCTCAATGTCTTATGTGCCACATTCATGGACATCCTCTTACTACCTCATGCGCCACATTCATGGACATCCTCTTACTACCTTATGTGCCACATTCATGGACATCCTCTCAATGCCTAATGCGCCACATTCATGGACATCCTCTCAATGTCTAATGTGCCACATCCAGGGACATCCTCTCAATGTCTAATGTGCCACATTCAGGGACATCCTCTCAATGTCTAATGTGCCACATTCATGGACATCCTCTCAATGTCTAATGTGCCACATTCATGGACATCCTCTCAATGTCTAATGTGCCACATTCATGGACATCCTCTCAATGTCTAATGTGCTGCATTCAGGGACATCCTCTCAATGTCTAATGTGCCACATTCATGGACATCCTCTCAATGTCTAATGTGCTACATTCAGGGACATCCTCTCAATGTCTAATGTGCCACATTCAGGGACATCCTCTCAATGTCTAATGTGCCACATTCAGGGACAACCTCTCAATGTCTAATGTGCCACTTTCATGGACATCCTCTCAATGCCTAATGTGCCACATTCAGGGACAACCTCTCAATACCTAATTTGTCATTTTCAGAGACATCTAGGGTGACAGCGGGCTTGCCGTGTAACTGATGAACACATATAACATGTGCTTACCATTGAACTGGCGTGATCTGCTACAGGAAATCCTGGCTCTACACCAGGAAAAGGATCCCAGGCATCGAGGCTGAAAGGCCCACCAAGACAGTCGTCAAATGGTGATTCGCGGAGACAGTCATCAAATGGAGACTCAGTAAGACAGTCGTCAAATGGATCACTTCCAAACTTGGCTACAGCTTTGAAGCCAGGTGTCAGATGAAACGGCACATTAAAAGGATCATCATTATCATTAGTATCTGCAGGTAATGCTGAAAAAATAAAAGCACTTGGCTTCTGCGACAAGTCCTCACAGTTTTCAAAAGCAACCCAGTCTGATGGACGGGGATTTGCTTGATGTTCTCTGTTCAAATGGTCGGCATTGTCACCAGGTGGGGGCAATGTCTTGGGATGGTTGAATGTCTGTAAAGTATCTGCAGTTGCTTGATTGCCTCTACGATAAAATGGATTATCATTATTCTCCCCAGACTGCAATGTATGAGATTCAAACATGTGCTCTCTAAAACCCTTTTGTGTAGGACTAGATGTGTTGTTAAGACTCGACTGGGTCAAGTCTCTGCCAGATCTTTCTGAGATTGCTTCAGAATCACCAGCTACTGTTTGTGCACACTTAACATTTGGTCGCAGGGTGGAGGGAGAGGCGGGTGCAAAAGATATGGGGTCAATAACATGAGGTGGGAGGGGTGGTGGAGGTTCAACGGGTGAAGGAGGCTGAGATGAAGCATGTGAAGTGTTTGAAACATGTGAAGTGTGTGAAACATGTGAAGTGTGTGAAGAATGAATGTCACAGGGAGATGTGATATTTTCATTGATATCTTTCAATATGTGTGATTTTTTAGGTCTGCGTGGTGGAGGAGGTGTCTGATGTGTGGGTAATGTGGGTGGAGGTGGTGGTGGCGGTGATGAAGGCATGGGTGACCTAGATGAAGCCTCTACATGGCAGCTGTGGCTATGTGATGATGTCTGTCTGGAAGGTACAGGTGGAGGGATGGTCCAAGCAAGCAATGATGACTGAGCATGAGGTGAGGATTCTGCAAGCAATGGAGGGATGAAGGAGGTATCAAATGGGTCCTCCTCTCCATCATCAGAGAGAAGGAGACCGCGGGTCTTGTCTAATATGACAGAGTCCACATCGCCAAAAGGGTCAGAACTTGCCTGTGACTGTGTATTCTGTGCAGAAAGAGGAAATGATGCCTTCATTTCATTCATAGGCTTCCTTTCTGGAACATTCATCTGTGCAAACATGTCCTTGGGGGACCTGGCTGTCGAGGGAGCAGACTTGCGAATGTTAAGGAGGTCACCAAACAGATCCTCACGAGTTTTAGTGGGCGGCTTGATAGGCTCTAGGCTGCCAGCAGGTGGATCTTGTCGACCATCCTTCTTCATTGGCTGAAGAATATTTGGATCTTCTCCAAATGCATTGCCCAATGGAAAACCTGGGGACTGGGACACAAGGAATGGGCTGCGCATAGCGCCCAGAACTGGTGGTGACATCATGCCACCAGGAACCATCCCTGGCATCATTCCCAATCTTGGTGGCATGGCCTGCAGCCCATACGGTTGACCAAATCCAGGAGCATATTGGCTGGCCAGGCCAAACCCTGGAGACACAGGCAGCCGAGGCTGTTGGACAGGAGGGCCAAACGGGTCACTGGCAAATGGATCCTTTGTCAGCGGCAGGCCAGCACTAGTTGAGTTCTGAAACAGCACAGAATAGTTTGGCTTCAGATAGTGCATTCATACATCAACTCATCACAGAAAACAATGCAAAGTATCTTAGATAACGCAATATAAAAAATGACAATCTTATTAATGATCCAAACTGTAAATGTTTTAATGAGCCCTCTTGTTACCCAGGTGACACTGTGCTAGGACCTGTTGTTGTTACCCAGGTGACACTGTGCTAGGACCTGTTGTTGTTACCCAGGTGACACTGTGCTAGGACATGTTGTTGTTACCCAGATGACACTGTGCTAGAACATGTTGTTGTTACCCAGGTGATACTGTGCTAGGACTGTTGTTGTTACCCAGATGACACTGTGCTAGAACATGTTGTTGTTACCCAGGTGATACTGTGCTAGGACATGTTGTTGTTACCCAGATGACACTGTGCTAGAACATGTTGTTGTTACCCAGGTGACACTGTGCTAGGACCTGTTGTTGTTACCCAGGTGACACTGTGCTAGGACATGTTGTTGTTACCCAGATGACACTGTGCTAGAACATGTTGTTGTTACCCAGGTGATACTGTGCTAGGACTGTTGTTGTTACCCAGATGACACTGTGCTAGAACATGTTGTTGTTACCCAGGTGATACTGTGCTAGGACATGTTGTTGTTACCCAGATGACACTGTGCTAGAACATGTTGTTGTTACCCAGGTGATACTGTGCTAGGACATGTTGTTGTTACCCAGGTGATACTGTGCTAGGACATGTTGTTGTTACCCAGATGACACTGTGCTAGAACATGTTGTTGTTACCCAGGTGATACTGTGCTAGGACATGTTGTTGTTACCCAGGTGACACTGTGCTAGGACTGTTGTTGTTACCCAGGTGACACTGTGCTAGGACATGTTGTTGTTACCCAGGTGATACTGTGCTAGGACATGTTGTTGTTACTCAGATGACACTGTGCTAGGACTGTTGTTGTTACCCAGGTGACACTGTGCTGGGACCTGTTGTGCTAGGACCTGTTGCTGTTACCCAGGTGACAGTGTGGTGGGACCTGTTGTTACCCAGGTGACACTGAGCTGGGATCTGTTGTGCTAGGACCTGTTGTTACCCAGGTGACACTCCTAGGACCTGTTGTTGTTGCCCAGGTGACACTGTGCTAGGACGTTGTTGTTGTTATCCAGGTGACGCTGTATTAGGACCTATTGTTGTTACCCAGGTGACACTGTGCTGGGACCTGTTTTACCCAGGTGACACTGTAGCAGGACCTGATTTACCCAGGTGACACTGTAGCAGGACCTGATTTACCCAGGTGACACTGTTCCAGGACCTGTTTTACCCAGGTGACACTGTTCCAGGACCTGTTTTACCCAGGTGACACTGTGCCAGGACCTCTTGTTGTTACCAAGGTGACACTGTGCCAGGACCTGTTTTAACCAGGTGACACTGTGCAAGGACCTCTTAATGTTACCCAAGTGACTGTGCCAGGACCTGTTTTAACCAGGTGACACTGTGCCAGGACCTGTTTTACCCAGGTGACACTGTAGCAGGACCTATTGTTGTTACTCAGATGATGCTGAAGCAGGGCCTGTTGTTGTTACCCAGGTGACGCTGTACTAGGACCAGTTGTTGTTACCCAGGTGACACTGTGCTAGGACCAGTTGTTGTTACCCAGGTGACGCTGTACTAGGACCAGTTGTTGTCACCCAGGTGACACTGTGCTAGGACCTGTTGTTGTTACCCAGGTGACGCTGTACTAGGACCAGTTGTTGTTACCCAGGTGACACTGTGCTAGGACCTGTTTTACCCAGGTGACACTGTTCCAGGACCTGTTTTACCCAGGTGACACTGTTCCAGGACCTGTTTTACCCAGGTGACACTGTGCCATGACCTGTTTTACCCAGGTGACACTGTGCCAGGACCTGTTTTACCCAGGTGACACTGTGCCAGGACCTCTTGTTGTTACCAAGGTGACACTAAAGCAATACTTACAAAACCTCCTGGAGCCCCAAACCCAGCCTGCAGTGGAAAGTGTGTCGATGCAAAGGGTTGCTGGAAGCTTCCAGACTGGAGTCCAGCAAGGTTACCCAGAGACGAAGCTGCTGCAGAAGATTAGAGACACAGACAAAACATTATAGACATACACAGAAGATTAGAGACACAGACAAAAGATTAGAGACATACACAGAAGATTAGAGACACAGACAAACGATTAGAGACATACACAGAAGATTAGAGACATACACAGAAGATTAGAGACATACACAGAAGATTAGAGACATACACAGAAGATTAGAGACATACACAGATGATTAGAGACACAGACAAAAGATTAGAGACATACACAGAAGATTAGAGACATACACAGAAGATTAGAGACATACACAGAAGATTAAGACATACACTGAAGATTAGAGACACAGACAAAAGATTAGAGACATACACAGAAGATTAGAGACACAGACAAAAGATTAGAGACATACACAGAAGATTAGGGACATACACAGAAGATTAGAGACACAGACAAACGATAAGAGACATACACAGAAGATTAGAGACATACACTGAAGATTAGGGATATACACAGAAGAATAGGGACATACACAGAAGATTAGAGACATACACTGAAGTTTAGGGACATACACTGAAGTTTAGGGACATACACAGAAGATTAGAGACATACACAGAAGATTAGAGACATACACTGAAGATTAGGGACACAGACAAAAGATTAGGGACATACACAGAAGATTAGAGACACAGACAAAAGATTAGAGACACAGACAAAAGATTAGAGACATACACTGAAGATTAGGGTCATACACAGAAGATTGAAGACACACACAAAAGATTAGAGACATACACAGAAGATTAGAGACATACACAGAAGATTAGAGACATACACTGAAGATTAGGGACATACACTGAAGAATAGAGACATACACAGAAGAATAGAGACATACACAGAAGATTAGAGACATACACAGAAGATTAGAGACATACACAGAAGATTAGAGACATACACAGAAGATTAGAGACATACACAGAAGATCAGAGACATACACAGAAGATTAGAGACATACACAGAAGATTAGAGACATACACAGAAGATTAGTTATATAAACAGATAATCTGGAGGAAAAGTACAAACACTTGTTCAATGACTAAACAATTAGACAGTGAAACTGAGTCTCTGGAGATGTGATGATACTGTAGAGAAGAATGGAAGAGCCTGGTGATGATACTGGTGATGATACTGTATAGAAGAATGGAAGAGCCTGGTGATGATACTGTAGAGAAGAATGGAAGAGCCTGGTGATGATACTGTAGAGAAGAATGGAAGAGCCTGGTGTTGATACTGTAGAGAAGAATGGAAGAGCCTGGTGATGATACTGTAGAGAAGAATGGAAGAGCCTGGTGATGATAGTGTAGAGAAGAATGGAAGAGCCTGGTGATGATACTGTAGAGAAGAATGGAAGAGCCTGGTGATGATAGTGTAGAGAAGAATGGAAGAGCCTGGTGATGATACTGTAGAGAAGAATGGAAGAGCCTGGTGATGATACTGTAGAGAAGAATGGAAGAGCCTGGTGATGATACTGTAGAGAAGAATGGAAGAGCCTGGTGATGATACTGTAGAGAAGAATGGAAGAGCCTGGTGATGATACTGGTGATGATACTGTAGAGAAGAATGGAAGAGCCTGGTGATGATAGTGTAGAGAAGAATGGAAGAGCCTGGTGATGATAGTGTAGAGAAGAATGGAAGAGCCTGGTGATGATACTGTAGAGAAGAATGGAAGAGCCTGGTGATGATACTGTAGAGAAGAATGGAAGAGCCTGGTTATGATACTGTAGAGAAGAATGGAAGAGCCTGGTGATGATACTGTAGAGAAGAATGGAAGAGCCTGGTGATGATACTGTAGAGAAGAATGGAAGAGCCTGGTGATGATACTGTAGAGAAGAATGGAAGAGCCTGGTGTTGATACTGTAGAGAAGAATGGAAGAGCCTGGTGATGATACTGGTGATGATACTGTAGAGAAGAATGGAAGAGCCTGGTGATGATACTGTAGAGAAGAATGGAAGAGCCTGGTGATGATACTGGTGATGATACTGTAGAGAAGAATGGAAGAGCCTGGTGATGATACTGTAGAGAAGAATGGAAGAGCCTGGTGTTGATACTGTAGAGAAGAATGGAAGAGCCTGGTGATGATACTGTAGAGAAGAATGGAAGAGCCTGGTGATGATAGTGTAGAGAAGAATGGAAGAGCCTGATGATGATACTGTAGAGAAGAATGGAAGAGCCTGGTGATGATACTGTAGAGAAGAATGGAAGAGCCTGGTGTTGATACTGTAGAGAAGAATGGAAGAGCCTGGTGATGATACTGTAGAGAAGAATGGAAGAGCCTGGTGTTGATACTGTAGAGAAGAATGGAAGAGCCTGGTGATGATACTGTAGAGAAGAATGGAAGAGCCTGGTGATGATACTGGTGATGATACTGTATAGAAGAATGGAAGAGCCTGGTGATGATACTGGTGATGATACTGTATAGAAGAATGGAAGAGCCTGGTGATGATACTGGTGATAATACTGTTGAGAAGAATGGAAGAGCCTGGTGGATACTGGTGATGATAAGAAATATAAACTATAGAATAATGCATACACACATCATTTTGTACACAATCATACACACTCACACACATGTATACATACTCCTACGTTCTCATATATGCAAACTCATATACAGACATAGTGATACATACACACATGCATCTACATACATAGACATAAATGCACAAACAGAAAACACACACACATACATTTAAGGATATACATGCACACACACATTCCGTACAAACACACCTATACATGCATCCATGCATACACACATATACAATCACATGTACAGACACCAGCATATGTCCACAACCACACATTTACACTCACATGAATACATACACCCACATTCATGCATGCATACATACACATACATGCATACACACACACATTTATACATACACTCAAATCTTTACACACATACATACATACCTAAATACACACATATACACCCACATACTTACACAGCTAAATATGCATACATACATCCACCATCATGCATACATACACACATAGGTACATACATGCCCACACACATTACACACATGCATGCATACAGACATATATACAATCACCCATACCGATATTACATACACACATGCATACCTGCATACATACATATTTGCATACAATATATACACACACCCACAATCATAAATGCACTCATATACTATCACACATACTTACAACATAGATTCATAAATACACAAACATACTTACAAACCTAAATATATTTTCATATAAAGTTTATAAGACTGGGTACAAAAAGCTGACAGTTTGGAGTTGCAGTCTACCTGCCACACAATAGAAAATGAGGGTTGAGTTTAAAAGACTAGGTACAAACAGCTGACAGTTTGGAGTTGCAGCACACAATAGACGACAAGGCTGAGCTGAGACAAAACTAGGTATATCCATATAACAGACAACAAAGTTGAGTTGAGACAAGACTAGGTATACCTATCTATACAACAGACATCAAGACTGAGTTGAGACAAGACTAGGTACATCAACGTAACAGATGAAAAAGCTGTGTTGAGACAATATTACGTACATCCACACAACAGACAACAAAGTTGAGTTGAGACAAGACTAGGTATGTCTATCTATACAACAGACAGCAAGACTGAGTTGAGACAAGACTAGGTACATCCACACAACAGACATCAAGGTTGAGTTGAGACAAGACCATGTTGAGACAGACAGCTTACAGTTTGGGGTGGCAGCTGCAGACAGTCCCCAGGGATCGTCGCTAGTGCTGGAGTTTGACGACAGTGACGGTGACAGTTTGGCTAGCGGTGAAGTCAGAGATGAAGCTGATGATGCAAAGGAATCCCTTTCCATGGAGTCAAACTCCAGATTTTTTATTTGTTCAATGCCCTGAGAACATTTATCACTGTTACAGTTAGAAATGATAAACTGGGCACTGAGAAGTAATATGTGTAGGAACCATTACAAAATGACATGGTCAGTAACAGAAATCATGGGACTTATGACAACAAATCATGCAGTTAACAAAATGTGATGTAAAAAACCTGATTAAAACTAGACTGCCTGTGAGTAGGTTTATATAGTGTGTTAAATCAAATCAAGCATGTGCCTGCCCAATGGACAGATCCTGTGAGTAGGTTTATATCTTGTGTGTTAAATCTGATCAAGCATGTGCCTGCCTAATGGACAGATCCTGTGAGTAGGTTTATATCTTGTGTGTTAAATCTGATCAAGCATGTGCCTGCCTAATGGACAGATCTTGTGATTGACCTTAATTCATGCCAACAACTGAGACTGCTTATCATGCAAAATGTGTCACATAAAGTCTACATAAAGTAGTTCTACCTGGCTGTAACACTGTGACATGTTTCAGTGTGCTATGTGTGTGCTATAACACTGTGACATGTTTCAGTGTGTCAGGTGTGTGCTATAACACTGTGACATGTTTCAGTGTGACACCTGCCACCCGTGTGCTGTAACATCATGGCAACTGTCAGCTGTGTGGTGTACAACTAACACATCATTTAAAAATGACTAGAATAAACAGTAAATGAATGAAGAACAAGACAAATGAGATGACAGGTTCATGCAAGTACAACAAACAGCTAGTTAGTTAAACAAAGGCTAAAAAAGCTAGTTTGTTAGAATATACATCATAAGAAAATCAGGGAACAAATCTGGGATGGGGAAAAAGAGTAAAAGTGTTGGAATGAAACATGAGACAGAGATGGGTTGGGAGAAAGGGATAAACTAGTCGAACCACACAAGTGACACATAGACATGAAATGAGAGAGAGAGAGAGAGAGAGTGAGAGATGGTATGGACACAACAAACAAAGAAATAATAAGGTATGTATACATGAATCACACCGAGACCGGATGAGAGAGAATGCCACATGAGTCACACAGAGATGAGATGAGAGTAATGACACATGAGTTACACAGAGAATAGATGAGAGAGAAAATGACAGATGAGTCATACATAGACAGGATTAGCGAGAATGACACACAAGTCCAACAGAGGAGATTAGAGAGAATACATGAGTCCCACAGAGATAGAAAGAGAATGACACATGAGTCACACACAGATAAGTTTTGAGAGAAAATGACACATGAGTCATACACAGACAGGATGAGCAAGAGAATGACACATGAGTCACGCACAGATGGGATGAGAGAGAGAATGACACATGAGTCACACACAGACAGGATGAGAGAGAGAATGACACATGAGTCACACACAGATGGGATGAGAGAGAGAGAATTACACATGAGACACAAACAAATGGGTTATGAGAGAGAATGACACATGAGCCACACACAGACAGGATGAGAGAGAGAATGACACATGAGTCACACACAGACAGGATGAGAGAGAGAATGACACATGAGTCATACACAGACAGGATGAGAGAGAATGACACATGAGTCACAAACAGATGGGATGAGAGAGAGAGAATGACACATGAGACACAAACAAATGGGCTATGAGAGAGCATGACACATAAGACACAGAGAGACAGGATAAGAAAAATAATAATACATGAGTCACACAGAGACAGGATGAGAGAGAATGACACATGAGTCACACACAGATGGGATGAGAGAGAGAATGACACATGAGTCACACACAGATGGGATGAGAGAGAGAGAATGACACATGAGTCACACACAGATGGGATCAGAGAGAGGGAATGACACATGAGTCACACACAGATGGGATCACAGAGAGAGAATAACAAATGAGTCACACACAGATGGGATCAGAGAGAGAGAATGACACGAGTCACACACAGATGGGATTAGAGAGATAGAGAGAATGACACATGAGTCACACCAGATGGGATCAGAGAGATAGAATGACACATGAGTCACACACAGATGGGATCAGAGAGATAGAGAGAATGACACATGAGTCACACACAGATGGGATCAGAGAGAGAGAGAGAGAGAGAGAGAGAGAGAGAGAGAGAGAGAGAGATTGACACATGAGTCACACACAGATGGGATCAGAGAGAGAGAACGACACATGAGTCACACACAGATGGGTTATGAGAAAGAATGACACATGAGTCACACACAGATGGTTTATGAGAGAGAATGACACATGAGTCACACATGATGGGATGAGAGAGAGAATGACACATGAGTCACACACAGATGGGATCAGAGAGAGAGAATGACACATGAGTGACACACAGATGGGATCAGAGAGAGAGAGAATGACACATGAGTCACACACAGATGGGATCAGAGAGAGAGAATGACACATGAGTCACACACAGATGGGATCAGAGAGAGAGAATGACACATGAGTCACACACCGATGGGATCAGAGAGATAGAGAGAATGACACATGAGTCACACACAGATGGGATCAGAGAGAGAGAGAGATTGACACATGAGTCACACACAGATGGGATCAGAGAGATAGAGAGAATGATACATGAGTCACACACAGATGGGATCAGAGAGAGAGAGAGAGATTGACACATGAGTCACACACAGATGGGATCAGAGAGAGAGAATGACACATGAGTCACACACAGATGGTATCAGAGAGAGAGAACGACACATAAATCACACACAGATGGGATCAGAGAGAGAGAATGACACATGAGTCACACACAGATGGGACCAGAGAGAGAGAGAGAGAATGACACATGAATCACACACAGATGGGATCAGAGAGAGAGAATGACACATGAGTCACACACAGATGGGATCAGAGAGAGAGAGAGAGAGAGAATGACATATTAGTCACACAGAGATGGGATCAGAGAGAGAGAGAGATAATGACACATGAGTCACACACAGATGGGATCAGAGAGAGAGAATGACACATGAATCACACACAGATGGGATCAGAGAGAGAGAGAATGACACATGAGTCACACACAGATGGGATCAGAGAGAGAGAGAGAGAGAGAGAATGACACATGAGTCACACACAGATGGGATCAGAGAAAGAGAATGACACATAAGTCACACACAGATGGGATCAGAGAGAGAGAATGACACATGAGTCACACAGATATGGGATCAGAGAGAGAATGACACATGAGTCACACATAGACGGGATGAGAGAGAGAATGACACATGAGTCACACACAGATGGGATGAGAGAGAGAATGACACATGAATCACACACAGATGGGATCAGAGAGAGAGAATGACACATGAGTCACACAGAGATGGGATCAGAGAGAGAGAATGACACATGAGTCACACACAGATGGGACCAGAGAGAGAGAGAGAATGCCACATGAATCAGACACAGAGACAGGATAAGAGAGAGAGAGAATGACACATGAGTCACACAGAGATGGGATGAGAGAGAGAGAGAGAATGACACATGAGTCACACATAGATGGGATCAGAGAGAGAGAATGACACATGAGTCACACACAGATGGGATCAGAGATAGTGAGAGAGAATGACACATGAGTCACACAGAGGGGATCAGAGAGAGAGAATGACACATGAGTCACACACAGATGGGATGAGAGAGAGAGAATGACACATGAGTCACACATAGATGGGATCAGAGAGAGAGAATGACACATGAGTCACACACAGATGGGACCAGAGAGAGAGAGAGAATGCCACATGAATCAGACACAGAGACAGGATAAGAGAGAGAGAGAATGACACATGAGTCACACAGAGATGGGATGAGAGAGAGAGAGAGAATGACACATGAGTCACACATAGATGGGATCAGAGAGAGAGAATGACACATGAGTCACACACAGATGGGATCAGAGATAGTGAGAGAGAATGACACATGAGTCACACAGAGGGGATCATAGAGAGAGAATGACACATGAGTCACACACAGATGGGATGAGAGAGAGAGAATGACACATGAGTCACACATAGATGGGATCAGAGAGAGAGAATGACACATGAGTCACACACAGATGGGATCAGAGATAGTGAGAGAGAATGACACATGAGTCACACAGAGATGGGATCAGAGAGAGAGAATGACACATGAGTCACACACAGATGGGATGAGAGAGAGAGAATGACACATGAGTCACACACAAATGGGATGAGAGATAGAATGACACATGAGTCACACACAGATGAGATGAGAGAGAGAGAGAGAGAGAGAGAGAGAGAGAGAGAGAGAGAGAGAGAGAGAGAGAGAGAGAGAGAATGACACCCACTTTGAGAATATGTTCAGCCTGGTCCTCTAGGTCCAGCAGGTTTGCTACCTGCTCTGCGTGAGTCACTGGACTGATGGGAGCGTTGTTAGTGGGAACCTGCATGGCGTGGTTAGAGGCATCCAATGGGGTTAATATAGTAAGCTAGCATAAAGAGCAGCTCAACAAGATATCAGGAATATATAGACAACATGTCGACAAGATGTCAGTAACTAAAAGACAACATGTCAACAAGATGTCAGTAACTGATGAATAAAATGTCAACAAGATGTCAGTAACTGATGAATAAAATGTCAACAAGATGTCAGTAACTGATGAATAAAATGTCAACAAGATGTCAGTAACTGATGAATAAAATGTCAACAAGATGTCAGTAACTGATGAATAAAATGTCAACAAGATGTCAGTAACCAATGGAAATGTCAACAAGATGTCATTAACATATCAACCAGAGTTTAGCCACAGATTGTGCTGCATGCTACAAACAGGCCTAACCTTTAAAAAAAAAAACTTTATACATTAATCTCAGACATCTACCAGTCTCGGGTGAATCTCTTGTTTACTGTTTATTATACCAATCTCAGACATCTATCGGTCTCAGGTGAATCTATTGTTTACTATTTATTATACCAATCTCAGACATCTACCAGTCTCAGGTGAATCTACTGTCTGCTGTTTATTTTACCAATCTCAGACATCTATCAGTCTCAGGTGAATCTACTGTCTGCTGTTTATTATACCAATCACAGACATCTACCAGTCTCGGGTGAATCTACTGTCTGCTGTTTATTATACCAATTTCAGACATCTACCAGTCTCGGGTGAATCTACTGTCTGCTGTTTATTATACCAATCTCAGACATCTACCAGTCTCGGGTGTATCTACTGTCTGCTGTTTATTAACCAATCTCAGACATCTACCAGTCTTGGGTGAATCTACTGTCTGCTGTTTATTATACCAATCTCAGACATCTACCAGTCTCGGGTGAATCTACTGTCTGCTGTTTATTATACTAATACAAAACATGTAGTGTTAGTTAGTTATTCCTCTTGTGCCAAAGATGGCGCATAGGGCAGAAGTTCTCCCCGAATAAACTATGTGTTTTTGTTCATTAGTAAGGAACGTTTTACCCGAGTTGGTCCATCTACATTCGCTAACACCGAGGATATCCAGATTGAAATCATTCATAACACTACACACTTGTGCTGTTTTCCCTGTCTGGTACATAGTTCTAACGTTCCAATATCCAATTTTAAAAACATCGGTGGCATTCAACAAATCAGAACGAAACGACATGACGTTTAAAGCCAGAAATCTGTTTCTGTAACAGTGGATGTTTTACGATGGCGGCTTGTTAGGCTACCGATCAACGGACTGGAGACAAGCTTGAAGGAAAACATCCCTCCATCTTGAAACCGCAACCGGTTTATTATACTAATACAAAACATGTAGTGTGCTATAGTTATATTCCCATCCCTTGTCCACTGTTTATCAAATAACTATGTGATGCATGGTGTGCAACAATTATGTTTGCAAGCAGGGACAATTCACAGCCATGCATAACTTCAATGCTCAACCATTCTTGGTGCAAAACAACTTTCAGTGTCCAACCATTCTTGGTGCAAAACAACTTTCAGTGTCCAACCATTCTTGGTGCAAAACAACTTTCAGTGTCCAACCATTCTTGGTGCAAAACAACTTTCAGTGTCCAACCATTCTTGGTGACCTATCGCTCTTGTGTCCAACCATCCTCAAGGTACAACCATTTCTAGAAACAAATCACATTCACGGTCGAACAATCCTCAAAGTACAACCATTTCTAGAATCAAATCACATTCACGGTCAAACAATCCTCAAGGTACAACCATTTCTAGAATCAAATCACATTCACGGTCGAACAATCCTCAAAGTACAACCATTTCTAGAATCAAATCACATTCACGGTCAAACCATCCTCAAGGTACAACCATTTCTAGAAACAAATCACATTCACGGTCGAACAATCCTCAAAGTACAACCATTTCTAGAATCAAATCACATTCACGGTCAAACAATCCTCAGGGTACAACCATTTCTAGAAACAAATCACATTCACATGTCCAGCAATTCTCTCTAGCAGTCTCATCACACACACACACACACATGCAGACACTTTCTTTCTCTCTATCTCTCACACACACTCGCAGATGAAGACTCTCTCCCTATCTCACATACACATATGCAGACTCTCTATCTCATACACATACATATGCAAACTCTTTCACACACACATGTAGACTCTCTCACACACACACACACACATGCAGACTTTCTCAAACACACATGCACTCTCTCTCTCTCTCACACACACACATGCAGACACTCTCTCACATACATGCAGACTCTTTCTCACACACATGCAACACACACATGCAGACTCACACACACACATGCTGACTCTCACACACACACACACACACACATGCTGACTCTCATACACACATGCAGACTCTCTCACACACACATGCAGACACACTCTTTCACACACATATGCAGACTCTCTCACACACACATACAGACACACTCTCTTTCACACACACATGCAGACACTCTCTCTCATAAACACACATACAGACACACTCTCTTTCATACACACCTGCAGACTCTCTCTCACACACACATGCAGACTCTCTCACACACACATGTAGACTCTCACACACATACACACACATGCAGACTCCCTCACACACATGCAGACTCTCTCTCTCTCTCACACACATGCAGACTCTCTCTCTCTCACACACATGCAAACTTCTCAAACACACATGCACTCTCTCTCTCTCTCTCTCTCACACACACACATGCAGACACTCTTTCACACACATGCAGACTCTTTCTTACACACATGCAACACACACATACAGACTCACACACACACATGCTGACTCTCACACACACACACATGCTGACTCACACACACATGCAGACTCTCTCACACACACATGCAGACACACTCTTTCACACACATATGCAGACTCTCTCACACACACATGCAGACTCTCTCACACACACATGTAGACTCTCACACACATACACACACATGGAGACTCCCTCACATACATGCAGACTCTCTTTCTCACACACATACAGACACACTCTCTTTCACACACACCTGCAGACTCTCTCTCACACACACATGCAGACTCTCTCACACACACATGTAGACTCTCACACACATACACACACATGCAGACTCCCTCACACATGCAGACTCTCTCTCTCACACACATGCAGACTCTCTAACACACACATGCAGACACTCTCTCTCACATGCATGCAGACTCTCTCTCTCACACACACATGCAGACTCTTTCACACACACATGCAGACTCTCACACACACATGCAGACACTCTCTCACACACACATGCAGACACTCTCACACATATGCAGACTCTCTCACGCACACATGCCGACTCTCTCTCACACACATGCAAACTCTCTCTCTCTCACACACATGCAAACTCTCTCTCTCACACACATGCAGACTCTCTTTCTCACACACATGCAGATGCTCTCTCTCACACATGCAGACTCTCACACACATGCAGACAATCTCACACAGTCTCTCTCTCTCTCTCTCACACACATGCAGACTCTCTCACACACACACATATGCAGACTCTCCCCTCACACAAACTAACAGTTAAGCTCACTTACATCCAGGAGTAGATTTTGCAAAACTAATCATACAAGCAAACAGAAATAATGCATAAAACAGAAAGCAAAATTAAACAGAAAAAACTGGCTTGTCATTCACTACAGATAATCCAGAAAAGACTGTGTCAGAACAGGCCATAATCATGCAGCCAAAGATATGATCATGAAATATACACAAGCTGATGTTAATGTTGGTTAGCTGAATGATGATGAGAATGTCTGTGTGTGTCACAAGTAATACCTGATAAATGTTTTCTGGTTCAGCATTTGCTTTCTGTGTCTGGGTCTGAAATGTCAACCAGTCAAACATGATCATTTCAAGCCAGTCTAGCTCAGATATCAGTTGTCTGTCTTACTTCAACCATGAACACATCAGTTGTCTGTCTTACTTCACCTATGTACACAACAGTTATCTTTCTTACTTCACCTATGTACACATCAGTTGTCTGTCTTACTTCACCTATGTACATGTCAGCTGTCTGTCTTACTTCACCTATGTACACATCAGCTGTCTTACTTCACCTATGTACACATCAGCTGTCTGTCTTACTTCACCTATGTACACATCAGCTGTCTGTCTTACTTCACCTATGTACATATCAGCTGTCTGTCTTACTTCCCCTGTGTACACATCAGCTGTCAGTCTTACTTCCCCTGTGTACACATCAGTTGTTTGTCATCAGCTGTCTGTCTTACTTCACCTGTGTACACATCAACTGTCTGTCTTACTTCACCTATGTACACATCAGCAGTCTGTTTTACTTCACCTATGTACACATCAGCTGTCTGTCTTACTTCACCTATGTACATATCAGCTGTCTGTCTTACTTCCCCTGTGTACACATCAGCTGTCAGTCTTACTTCCCCTGTGTACACATCATTTGTCTGTCTTACTTCACCTATGTACATATCAGCTGTCTGTCTTACTTCCCCTGTGTACACATCAGCTGTCAGTCTTACTTCCCCTGTGTACACATCATTTGTCTGTCTTACTTTACCTATGCACACATCAGCTGTCTGTCTTACTTCACCTGTGTACATGTCAGCTGTCTGTCTTACTTCAGCTATGTATACTTCAGCTGTCTGTCTTACTTCACCTATGTACATATCAGCTGTCTGTCTTATTTCACCTATGTACATATCAGCTGTCTGTCTTACTTCACCTATGTACACATCAGCTGTCTGTCTTACTTCACCTATGTACATATCAGCTGTCTGTCTTACTTCCTCTGTGTACACATCAGCTGTCAGTCTTACTTCCCCTGTGTACACATCAGTTGTTTGTCATCAGCTGTCTGTCTTACTTCACCTGTGTACACATCAGCTGTCTGTCTTACTTCACCTATGTACATATCAGCTGTCTGTCTTACTTCACCTATGTACATATCAGTTGTCTATCTTACTTCACCTATGTACATATCAGCTGTCTGTCTTACTTCACCTTTGTACATATCAGCTGTCTGTCTTACTTCACCTATGTACATATAAACTGTCTGTCCTACTTCACCTATGTACATATAAACTGTCTGTCTTACTTCACCTATGTACATATAAACTGTCTGTCTTACTTCACCTATGTACATATAAACTGTCTGTCTTACTTCACCTATGTACACATCAGCTGTCTGTCTTACTTCACCTATGTACACATCAGCTGTCTGTCTTACTTCACCTATGTACATATCAGCTGTCTTACTTCACCTATGTACACATCAGCTGTCTGTCTTACTTCACCTATGTGCAAATTATCTGAATTTAATTTACACAACTGTTCAATAAGTGAAAACTAGCAACAGAATAACTGATATTTCTTTAATAACTGTTCTAAAACTATATAAATATGTTGTACAGTTAAATAAATATGTTGTACAACTGTATAAATATGTTCTATAACTAAATTTTTGTTAAAGTATATGTTGTACAGCTGTAACAATAAACACAATATCCATTCTACAGCTATAACCATCTATACACCAGCTATCCTATAAGTAAAACCAAGCATGCATCATGCGTACATTCATACAACTGAAATATAAGTATCTCAGCTACATTTGTTTTCTAACTGCTTCAATCTCCATCAGTTTCAGCTCATTTCAGACTATGTGAATCAATAAGAGCAAGCCACCAACCTGGCCAGTCCCCGAGGTCGACCCTACCCCCGAGGTTTGCAAGTTTTCCTTCTCTCCATTTGCAGTATGTTCTTGCTTGTCCAGTTTCTCCTTGGCAGCCTCCAATTCCTTTTTCTTCATCTCATAGACAACTTGAAACAAATCCCTCAGGGCTAGCACCAGGTTTTCTGCCTGTCGAAATAGAAAATCTCCAGGTAACTGCGTCCAATAAAGAACATCAACAGGCCGCAAATCTCATCACATTGAGAACATAAACAGGTGGCACATCACTTAGAGAACATCTCGAGGTGACAAATCACATCACATAGAGAATATTACCAAATGAAAAATCACATCAAATAGAGAATATCACTAGGTGCCAAATCAAATTACACAGGGAACATCAACAGGTGACAAATCACATTACATAGAGAACACCAACAGATGACAAATCACATCACATAGAGAATATCACCAGGCGACAATTCACATCACACAGAGAATATCACCAGGCAACAAATCACATCACATAGAGAACATCACCAGGTGACAAATCACATCACATAGAGAACATCACCAGGTGACAAATCACATCACATAGAGAACATCACCAGGCAACAAATCACATCACATAGAGAACATCACCAGGTGACAAATCACATCACATAGAGAACATCACCAGGTGACAAATCACATCACATAGAGAACATCACCAGGCAACAAATCACATCACATAGAGAACATCACCAGGTGACAAATCACATCACATAGAGAACATCACCAGGCAACAAATCACATCACATAGAGAACATCACCAGGCGACAAATCACATCACATAGAGAACATCACCAGGCGACAAATCACATCACATAGAGAACATCACCAGGCGACAAATCACATCACATAGAGAACATCACCAGGTGACAAATCACATCACATAGAGAACATCACCAGGCAACAAATCACATCACATAGAGAACATCACCAGGTGACAAATCACATCACATAGAGAACATCACCAGGTGACAAATCACATCACATAGAGAACATCACCAGGCAACAAATCACATCACATAGAGAACATCACCAGGTGACAAATCACATCAAACACAGAATATCCTATGTTTATCATGAGACCATGCTTCAGCAACAGCATACACACAACCAGCCATACTGTCAAGCACTCTCTCCCAGTCTGCGGCTGGCCAAAACAATGGACACATCTGATTTCACTCTGTGCCTCTTTTCCGTGTTGTGGTTGTACCAAATATGGCTTATTTTGTGGTCCATAAACTTACCTTCTAGCAGCACACTGTCCTGTGTTTTGCCACCAATTCTAGCAACACACTGTCCTGTGTTTTGCCACCAATTCTAGCAGCACTACTGTCCTGTGTTTTGCCACCAATTCTAGCAGCACACTGTCCTGTGTTTTGCCACCAATTCTAGCAGCACACTGTCCTGTGTTTTGCCACCAATTCTTGCAGCACATTGTCCCGCATTTTGCCACCAATTCTAGCAGCACACTGTCCTGTGTTTTGCCATCAATTCTAGCAGCACACTGTCCTGTGTTTTCCTATCAATTCTAGCAGCACCACTGTCCTGTGTTCTGCCATCAATTCTAGCAGCACACTGTCCTGTGTTTTGCCATCAATTCTAGCAGCACACTGTCCTGTGTTTTGCCATCAATTCTAGCAGCACACTGTCCTGTGTTTTGCCACAAATTCTAGCAGCACCACTGTCCTGTGTTCTGCCACCAATTCTAGCAGCACTACTGTCCTGTGTTTTGCCATCAATTCTAGCAGCACTACTGTCCTGTGTTTTGCCACCAATTCTAGAAGAACACTGTCCTGTGTTTTGCCATCAATTCTAGCAGCACACTGTCCTGTGTTTTCCTATCAATTCTAGCAGCACACTGTCCTGTGTTTTGCCATCAATTCTAGCAGCACACTGTCCTGTGTTTTGCCACAAATTCTAGCAGCACCACTGTCCTGTGTTCTGCCACCAATTCTAGCAGCACTACTGTCCTGTGTTTTGCCATCAATTCTAGCAGCACTACTGTCCTGTGTTTTGCCATCAATTCTAGCAACACCACTGTCCTGTGTTTTCCTATCAATTCTAGCAGCACTACTGTCCTGTGTTTTGCTATCAATTCTAGCAGCACCACTGTCCTGTATTTTGCCATCAATTCTAGCAGCACCACTGTGATGTGTTTTGCCATCAATTCTAGCAGCACACTGTCCTGTGTTTTGCCATCAATTTTAGCCACATACTGTCCTATGTTTTGCCATCAATTCTAGCAACACCACTGTTCTGTGTTTTCCTATCAATTCTAGCAGCACTACTGTCCTGTGTTTTGCCATCAATTCTAGCAGAACACTGTCCGATGTTTTGCCATCAATTCTAGCAGAACCACTGTTCTGTGTTTTGCCATCAATTCTAGCAGCACTACTGTCCTGTGTTTTGCCATCAATTCTAGCAGCACCACTGTCCTGTGTTTTGTCACCAATTCTAAAAGCACACTGTCCTGTGTTTTGCCATCAATTCTAGCAACACCACTGTTCTGTGTTTTCCTATCAATTCTAGCAGCACTACTGTCCTGTGTTTTTCCATCAATTCTAGCAGAACACTGTCCTATGTTTTGCCATCAATTCTAGCAGCACTACTGTCCTATGTTTTGCCATCAATTCTAGCAGCACTACTGTCCTGTGTTTTGCCATCCATTCTAGCAGAACACTGTCCTATGTTTTGCCACAAATTCTAGCAGCACCACTGTCCTGTGTTTTGCCACCAATTCTAGCAGCACTACTGTCCTGTGTTTTGCCATCCATTCTAGCAGAACACTGTTCTGTGTTTTGCCATCAATTCTAGCAGCACTACTGTCCTATGTTTTGCCACAAATTCTAGCAGCACCACTGTCCTGTGTTTTACCACCAATTCTAGCAGCACTACTGTCCTGTGTTTTGCCATCCATTCTAGCAGAACACTGTTCTGTGTTTTGCCATCAATTCTAGCAGCACTACTGTCCTGCGTTTTGCCACCAATTCTAGCAGCACCACTGTCCTGTGTTTTGCCAGAAATTCTAGCAGCATGTCCTGTGTTTTGCCACCAATTCTAGCAGCACACTGTTCTGTGTTTTGCCACCAATTCTAGCAGCACTACTGTCCTGTGTTTTGCCACCAATTCTAGCAGCACACTGTTCTGTGTTTTGCCACCAATTCTAGCAGCACATTGTTCTGTGTTTTGCCATCAAATCTAGCAGCACACTGTTCTGTGTTTTGCCACCAATTCTAGCAGCACACTGTTCTGTGTTTTGCCACCAATTCTAGCAGCACACTGTTCTGTGTTTTGCCACCAATTCTAGCAGCACACTGTTCTGTGTTTTGCCACCAATTCTAGCAGCACATTGTTCTGTGTTTTGCCATCAAATCTAGCAGCACCAATGTCCTGTTTTGCCATTAATTCAAAAACAATTGTCTTCTCTGAACTATCCTGAACTTTTCTTTTCCTTTCTTTCCCTGGGGTCAATAGAAAGCTCCACGAACGACCTCAGACTGGGGTCTACAGATAGCCCACAAATCACCCTAGACCAGTGTCTACAGGGAGCCCACAAATCCCCCCAAGACCAGTGTCTACAGAGAGCCCACAAATCCCCCAAGACCAGTGTCTACAGGGAGCCCACAAATCTCCCCAAGACCAGTGTCTACAGAGAGCCCACAAATCCCCCCTCCCCCCAAGACCAATGTCTACAGAGAGCCCACAAATCCCCCCCCCTCCCCCAAGACCAATGTCTACAGAGAGCCCACAAATCCCCCCTCCCCCCAAGACCAATGTCTACAGAGAGCCCACAAATACCCCCTCTCCCGAAGACCAATGTCTACAGAGAGCCCACAAATCCCCCCCCCCCCCAAGACCAGTGTCTACAGAGAGCCGACAAATCCCCCCCCCCCCCCAAGACCAGTGTCTACAGAGAGCCCACAAATCCCTCCCCCCAACCCAAGACCAGTGTCTACAGAGAGCCACAAATCCCTCCCCCCCCCCCCCCCCCCCCCCAAGACCAGTGTCTACAGAGAGCCTAAAAATCCCTCCAAGACCAGTGTCCACAGAGAGCCCACAAATCCCCCCAAGACCAGTGTCTATAGAGAGCTCACAAATCCTTCCAAGACCAGTGTCCACAGAGAGCCCACAAATCCCCCCCCCCCCCCCCCAAGACCAGTGTCTACAGAGAGCCCACAAATCCCCCCCCCCCCCATCCACCCCAAGACCAGTGTCTACAGAGAGCACACAAATCCCTCCAAGATCAGTGTCTACAGAGAGCCCACAAATCCCCCCAAGACCAGTGTCTACAGAGAGCCCACAAATCCCCCCAAGACCAGTGTCTACAGAGAGCCCACAAATTCCCCCAAGACCAGTGTCTACAGAGAGCCCACAAATCCCCCCAAGACCAGTGTCTACAGAGAGCCCACAAATCCCCCCAAGACCAATGTCCACAGAGAGCCCACAAATCCCCCCCCCCCCCCCAAGACCAGTGTCTACAGAGAACCCACAAATCCCCCTAAGACCAGTGTCTACAGAGAGCCCACAAATCCCCCCAAGACCAGTGTCTACTGAGAGCCCACAAATCCCTCCAAGACCAGTGTCTACAGAGAGCCCACAAATCCCTCCAAGACCAGTGTCCACAGAGAGCCCACAAATCCCTGCAAGACCAGTGTCCACAGAGAGTCCACAAATCCCCCCAAGACCAGTGTCCACAGAGAGCCCACAAATCCCCCAAGACCAGTGTCTACAGAGAGCCCACAAATCCCCCCAAGACCAGTGTCCACAGAGAGCCCACAAATCCCCCCAAGACCAGTGTCCACAGAGAGCCCACAAATCCCCCCAAGACCAGTGTCCACAGAGAGCCCACAAATCCCCCCAAGACCAGTGTCCACAGAGAGCCCACAAATCCCCCCCCCCCCATAGACCAGTGTCTACAGAGAGCCCACAACCCCCCCCCCCCCCCCCCAAGACCAGTGTCTACAGAGAGCCCACAAATCCCTCCAAGACCAGTGTCTACAGAGAGCCCACAAATCCCTCCAAGACCAGTGTCCACAGAGAGCCCACAAATCCCTCCAAGACCAGTGTCCAAAGAGAGCCCACAAATCCCTCCAAGACCAGTGTCCACAGAGAGCCCACAAATCCCCCCAAGACCAGTGTCTACAGAGAGCCCACAAACCCCCCCCCCCCCCCCCAAGACCAGTGTCTACAGAGAGCCCACAAATCCCCCCAAGACCAGTGTCTACAGAGAGCCCACAAATCCCCCAAGACCAGTGTCTACAGAGAGCCCACAAATCCCCCCAAGACCCAGTGTCCACAGAGAGCCCACAATCCCCCCAAGACCAGTGTCCACAGAGAGCCCACAAAATCCCCCCAAGACCAGTGTCTACAGAGAGCCCACAAATCCCCCCAAGACCAGTGTCTACAGAGAGCACACAAACCCCCCAAGACCAGTGTCTACAGAGAGCCCACAAATCCCCTCAAGACCAGTGTCCACAGAGAGCCCACAAACCCCCCCCCCCCCCCCAAGACCAGTGTCTACAGAGAGCCCACAAATCCCCCCAAGACCAGTGTCCACAGAGAGCCCACAAATTCCCCCTCCCCAAGACCAGTGTCTACAGAGAGCCCACAAATCCCCCCAAGACCAGTGTCTACAGAGAGCCCACAAATTTCCCCCCCCCCCCACCAAGACCAGTGTCTACAGAGAGCCCACAAATCCCCCCAAGACCAGTGTCTACAGAGAGCCCACAAATCCCTCCAAGACCAGTGTCCACAGAGAGCCCACAAATCCCCCCAAGACCAGTGTCTACAGAGAGCCCACAAATCCCCCCAAGACCAGTGTCTACAGAGAGCACACAAATCCCCCCAAGACCAGTGTCTACAGAGAGCCCACAAATCCCCCCAAGACCAGTGTCCACAGAGAGCCCACAAATCCCCCCCCCCATCCAAGAGCAGTGTCTACAGAGAGCCCACAAACCCCCCCCCCCCCCCCAAGACCAGTGTCTACAGAGAGCCCACAAATCCCCCCAAGACCAGTGTCTACAGAGAGCCCACAAATCCCCCCAAGACCAGTGTCCACAGAGAGCCCACAAATCCCCCCAAGACCAGTGTCTACAGAGAGCACACAAATCCCCCCAAGACCAGTGTCTACAGAGAGCCCACAAATCCCCTCAAGACCAGTGTCCACAGAGAGCCCACAAACCCCCCCCCCCCCCCCCCCCCCCCCCAAGACCAGTGTCTACAGAGAGCCCACAAATCCCCCCAAGACCAGTGTCCACAGAGAGCCCACAAATTCCCCCTCCCCAAGACCAGTGTCTACAGAGAGCCCACAAATCCCCCCAAGACCAGTGTCTACAGAGAGCCCACAAATCCCCCCAAGACCAGTGTCTACAGAGCCCTCAAATACCCCCAAAACCAGTGTCTACAGAGAGCCCACAAATTCCCCCAAGACCAGTGTCCACAGAGAGCCCACAAATTCCCCCAAGACCAGTGTCTACAAAGCCCACAAATCACCCCAAGACCAGTGTCTACAGAGAGCCCACAAATCCCCCCAAGACCAGTGTCCACAGAAAACCCAGAAATGACCCTAGACAGCAAAGGTTTTACAGTGAGAACACAAAACAAGGAAACTAGTGAGGGGACTACTAACAACACAAACCACAACTTATTCACAACACAAACCAAACTTACAACACAAACCACAACTTACAGCAGATGCTGTTTTGATGGCGAAGAACTTGTGCAAGCCATCTTCAGTCCCATAGACATAGCCGAACGCTCGGGTGTCGGTGGCATCCCGAGAAATGAATGAAATACGGTGCACGGGGTGAATGTGCAAGACAATCTGTTAATATCAACACATGTATGTGATTACGCTGCTAGACAATCTGTGAACATCAACAAATATAAATTACATTATGTTGCTAGACAATCTCTGAACATCAACACACATATATCTTGCTAGATAATCTGCCAAGATCAAAACATATATCTGATTATGTTGTAAGACAATCTGCCAACATCAAAACATATATCTGATTATGTTGTAAGACAATCTGTGAACATCAACACTCATATGTGATCATGTTGCTATCACAGCTACATATATTATGGCTATATCTGCCTATTCAAAAGGTCATACTGTTCTTTCTGATGAACATGTGAACTCCGCAATGATATCTTACAGGATCATGCAACAGGTGCACATACAACTATTAGATACAATGAAAGAGCAATGAAAGAGTTGACAGATTAGCTGGTTATACTTTAGCTGAGGATGGCTGGCCCATGAATCATGCAAACACTTTTAATGCCCTTGAAGAGTTAGGACAATCCAAGACTATCACAGCTAAGAAAGTGATAAATGGGAGTAAAGACCGGCACACCAGACTTACTTTAAGCAGCACAGGACTAGTACTATGACAACGGGACAGTGATGTATATGTTGTAGAGAGGATCTGAGCACTGATGGAGGTGTGAAGATAGCTTCCAACCTGTAACACATAACAGACATACAACAGCGTGTCCACATCACTGCTAAGAAAGTGAGAACTGGGAGTAAAGACATTGTACTTTCTCTGAGAGAAACACTGCAGGATCTCTAAGAGACACATAGTACCATATCTGAGAGACACAGTACCATCTCTGAGAGACACACATTACCTTCTCTGAGAGACAATGTACCTTATCTGAGAGACACTGCACCATCTCTGAGACACTTACAGTACCTTCTCTGAGAAACTGTACCTTCTCTGAGACACTGTACCCTCTCTGAGAGACACATGGTACGATATCTGAGAAACACAGTACCATCTCTGAGAGACATGCTGTACCATCTCTGAGAAACATGCTGTACCATCTCTGAGAAACATGCTGTACCATCTCTGATAAATATGCTGTACCATCTCTGAGAAACATGTTATACCATCTCTGAGAAACATGCTGTACCATCTCTGAGAAACATGCTGTACCATCTCTGAGAAATATGCTGTACCATCTCTGAGAAACATGCTATACCATCTCTGAAAAACATGCTGTACCATCTCTGAGAAACATGCTGTACCATCTCTGAGAAACATGCTGTACCATCTATGAGAAACATGTTGTAGAGCGGTAGAGACTAAACACAGTCAGGGTTAGGGTGCAGGGGGGGGGGGAGCGGTAGAGACACTTACTAAACACAGTCAAGGTTAGGGTGCAGGGGGGAGGGGGGGGCAGCGGTAGAGACACTCACTAAACACAGTCAAGGTTAGGGTGCAGGGGGGGGGGAGCGGTAGAGACACTCACTAAACACAGTCAAGGTTAGGGTGCAGGGGGGGGGGAGCGGTAGAGACACTCACTAAACACAGTCAAGGTTAGGGTGCAGGGGGGGGGGGGGGGGAGCGGTAGAGACACTCACTAAACACAGTTAAGGTTAGGGTGCAGGAGGGCAGCTGTAGAGACACTCACTAAACACAGTCAAGGTTAGGGTGCAAAGGGGGGGGGGGGGGGGGGGGGGAGAGAGCGGTAGAGACACTCATTAAACACAGTCAAGGTTAGGGTGCAGGAGGGCAGCGGTAGAGACACTCACTAAACACAGTCAAGGTTAGGGTGCAGGAGGGCAGCGGTAGAGACACTCACTAAACACAGTCAAGGTTAGGGTGCAGGAGGGCAGCGGTAGAGACACTCACTAAACACAGTCAAGGTTAGGGTGCAGGAGGGCAGCGGTAGAGACACTCACTAAACACAGTCAAGGTTAGGGTGCAGGGGGGAAGCGGTAGAGACACTCACTAAACACAGTCAAGGTTAGGGTGCAGGAGGGCAGCGGTAGAGACACTCACTCAACACAGTCAAGGTTAGGGTGCAGGAGGGCAGCTGTAGAGACACTCACTAAACACAGTCAAGGTTAGGGTGCAGGAGGGCAGCGGTAGAGACACTCACTAAACACAGTCAAGGTTAGGGTGCAGGAGGGCAGCTGTAGAGACACTCACTAAACACAGTCAAGGTTAGGGTGCAGGAGGGCAGCTGTAGAGACACTCACTAAACACAGTCAAGGTTAGGGTGCAGGAGGGCAGCTGTAGAGACACTTACTAAACACAGTCAAGGTTAGGGTGCAGGAGGGCAGCGGTAGAGACACTCACTAAACACAGTCAAGGTTAGGGTGCAGGAGGGCAGCGGTAGAGACACTCACTCAACACAGTCAAGGTTAGGGTGCAGGAGGGCAGCGGTAGAGACACTCACTAAACACAGTCAAGGTTAGGGTGCAGGAGGGCAGCGGTAGAGACACTCACTAAACACAGTCAAGGTTAGGGTGCAGGGGGGGGGGAGCGGTAGAGACACTCACTAAACACAGTCAAGGTTAGGGTGCAGGGGGGGGGGGGGGGGAGCGGTAGAGACACTCATTAAACACAGTCAAGGTTAGGGTGCAGGAGGGCAGCGGTAGAGACACTCACTAAACACAGTCAAGGTTAGGGTGCAGGAGGGCAGCGGTAGAGACACTCATTAAACACAGTCAAGGTTAGGGTGCAAGGGGGGGGGGGGGGAGCGGTAGAGACACTCATTAAACAAGTCAAGGTTAGGGTGCAGGGGGGGAGCGGTAGAGACACTCACTAAATGACAACATCAAATATGTCCTACCCTCTCTTGTCCTTGTTCTGTCTGTTCATTTTCTACTGCCAGTTTTGGGCTTTTGTGTTCAATCTTTTTTTTATTTTGAACAGAGGCCTGCAAAATGGGAAGGATTCAAGCAAGGCTGGGTATCACACTGAGCTCAATCTGGACAAACAGTTTTCAAGCAAAGCTCACTATCACACTGAGCGAAATCTGGACAAACAGTCTTCAAGCAAAGCTGACTATCACATTGAGCAAAATCTGGACAAACAGTATTCAAGCAAAGCTGACTATCACACTGAGCTAAATCTGGACAGTCTTCAAACAAAGCTGACTATCACACTGAGTGAAATCCGGACAGTCTTCAAGCTAAGCTGACTATCACACTGAGTGAAATCCGGACAGTCTTCAAGAAAAGCTGACTATCACACTGAGCTAAATCTGGACAGTTTTCAAACAAAGCTGACTATCACATTGAGTGAAATCCGGACAGTCTTCAAGCAAAGCTGACTATCACATTGAGTGAAATCCGGACACTCTTCAAACAAAGCTGACTATCACATTGAGTGAAATCCGGACAGTCTTCAAGCAAAGCTGACTATCACACTGAGCTAAATCTGGACAGTCTTCAAGCAAAGCTGACTATCACACTGAGTGAAATCCGGACAGTTTTCAAGCAAAGCTGACTATCACACTGAGTGAAATCCGGACAGTCTTCAAGCAAAGCTGACTATCACACTGAGTGAAATCCGGACAGTCTTCAAGCAAAGCTGACTATCACACTGAGCTAAATCTGGACAGTCTTTAAACAAAGCTGACTATCACACTGAGTGAAGTCCGGACAGTCTTCAAGCAAAGCTATCACACTGAGTGAAATCTGGACAAACAGTCTTCAAGCAAAGCTGACTATCACACTGAGTGAAATCTGGACAAACAGTCTTCAAGCAAAGCTGACTATCAAAGTGAGCGAAATCTGGACAAACAAATTCCAGCTCAACAGCCTTTCCTATTTGCAGGGATTTGATTAATGAAATTTCCTAAACATGCGAACAATGCTGGTCATGTGTTTATGAATGAAATAACTTCAATATGTGAACAATGCTGGTCAGGTGTTTATGAATGAAATAACTTCAATATGTGAACAATGCTGGTCATGTGTTTATGAATGACATAACTTCAATATGTGAACAATGCTGGTCATGTGTTTATGAATGAAATAACTTCAATATGTGAACAATGCTGGTCATGTGTTTATGAATGAAATAACTTCAATATGCGAACAATGCTGGTCATGTGTTTATTAATGAAATAACTTCAATATGTGAACAATGCTGGTCATGTGTTTATGAATGACATAACTTCAATATGCCAACAATGCTGGTCATGTGTTTAGGAATGAAATAACTTCAATATGCCAACAATGCTGGTCATGTGTTTATGAATGAAATAACTTCAATATGCCAACAATGCTGGTCATGTGTTTATGAATGAAATAACTTCAATATGCCAACAATGCTGGTCATGTGTTTATGAATGAAATAACTTCAATATGCCATATGTTTATTGTTTTCTGAGTGTTGGCGAAGGACATGTCTAACAAGGTGCAGTCAGTCAGTTGTTATCGTGCATTTGCAAAGTTCATCTTTTAGATTTGCCATTGTTACTGGTCTGTTTGTAAGACGACAGCATTTATACATGGAGTAGACCAATGTAACTGTTGGTGTCAGGGACCACCTGGCAACTCAAGAGCTTCGTTTGATTAGTGGATTCTCTGTGTGGGTTCTAGGGCTCTGGTTTGGAGAACACAGAAGAGAGTCAATACCCCCCCCCCCCCCCCCCCCCCCCCCCAACTACCAAACAAGCAGGACTAATTATGGGTGCTTCCTTCAACGAAGAAATGCATCAGACATATCGGACATATCGGACATATGAAACATATGGGACAAATGGGACATATCGAGCATATCGGACATATCGGAGATTTCGGACATATCGGACATATCAGACATATCGGACATATCAGACATATCGGACATATCGGATATATCAGACAAATCGGACATATCCGACATATCGGACATATCAGACATATCGGACATATCAGACATATCGGACATATCAGACATATCGGACATATCGGACATATCGGACATATCGGACATATCGGACATATCGGACATATCGGACATATCGGACATATCGGACATATCAGACATATCGGACATATCAGACATATCGGACATGTGAGACAATGTT